CATAATCGTCATCATCATCATCATCATCAGCGGCAGCAACAGCACCAGCATCATGTAGCCATTCCATGAGTTCATCATTTCCTCATTTCATCATCAATTGTCGCCTTCGCCGCTCCCGACATCTTACTTGCCTTCTTTGACTTCAGCATCGTAAACAGTTGTGCTTTCATCTTCCTCATTAGTTTTCCCAAGAGCTCCTCCTGTATCGTCCTTCTTGATCATCACTTTCCCTACTGGGTTCACGCTCACTCTCGCGGGCGCCTGCTACTCTGATTATGTTGGACGGGCCTTCTCTTCAACTATCAGACAACTTGAGCTTGATGTTGATTACTTGGTGTTATTTAGAGTGCTTGCTTTTGATGGTTCGACTTCGGGCGTTGGATAAGTGAAACGGATGCAAGTTTGTATTTCGAAGCCGCTATTCAGGTGCATATCACGAAGGAGCTTTTCCTGCTGGTGGTTCAGGACGGCTCTCTTTAAAGTTGAGACCCATCCCTGATTTGGGTGTGTATTTGAATCGTTCTCTGAGTTTGTCAGAAAGGTTGTGCACTTTGCAGTTCCGGGCTTACATTGTCCCAGCTGCAAGGAGCAGTCCTTTGTTGAGAGCTTTACCATGAATCCTCGAGCCTTGGTCCTAAGACCTCAATGGGCTTCATGCTTGTGAACAGCCAGGACCGGCACGTCCAAAAAGTGATGGATGACCTGGACCTACCTCCTGACCGGGCAAACCTATTTGAGATGCTCCTCGGTTGGACCTCAGGATCTACTGAAGTTTATTCAGACTCAAGCATTTAGTCCGGTTTTTTTTTGCCCTAGAGCCCTTCAATTTTCTGAGGAACCTTATATCCTGTGATCCCAAGTCCCTTCCACCCCAACTCATGTATGCTTTCGACCTTCAACTTAAAACCCACGACCCAAACCTTTCCAGACCCTGTGCTGGCGCCCATAAGGGCACTTCTAACAATGTATAGTCTCCTTGCGCACCCCAGAATATTAGTCCATGATACAACACCCCCCAAAAAAAGATCCCTGGATTTTCGGAAAGCTGAAGCCGGAAGCCCTACATACCACTACAGACCTGAATGTTTCCACGCAGCCCCGAAGGTTGGATGGCGATGGCAGCGGAACGCTGCAGACGGCTGAGCTGCTCCAAGGGCTGCTGAAGGTCAGGGGCGAGGTGGGCTTCGAAGATTTAGGTTTTAGGGTTTGGGGTTTAAGATTTAGGGTTTAGGGTTTAAGATTTAGGGTTTAGGGTTTAGGGCCCCCCTTAAGTATTAAGTTGGTAGAATATGGTGGGTAGGGGGATCTTATTATGATATTGGGCAATTCCATATTTTATCTACTTAAAGGGAGCTATAAGGTTTGGGGGGTGCTTGGGCAAATTTAGAGGGGCCCAAGTACCTATACAGGGGATCCTTACTTACCCAACAGACAAGGCATTCCCATAGTATAGTATAGAGACCCCAGGGTGACGGGTGGGTAGAAGTGGGTTCTAGGGTATGGGGATTGTATGAACGCCAACATTTTGCACGTCAGAGCTTTGTCAGGGAAGCCGAGAAAAACACGAAATAAATCGACGACAACACGCACAACACAAACCGACAACACACAAACAACAGCAAAACTATAAGTAACCACCAAGATGCCAAAGCACGACACAGTTTTTGTGGTTGGATGTCAGTTTTGTTTGGCCTGTCACACTTTACCGTGTTGTGTTGTTTTTGTGTTTTCCACGATTTTTGTGTCTGTCATGTTTCGCAGTTTCGCGAGTTTTCTTTCTCTCGGTTTTGAAGCTTTCGGCGCTTAAGCCTAGACACGTGGCGCGGTTCCACGATCATCTTGGAGGTGGAGAGGGCTTGTATGGATTTGCAGCAGTTCTGAGTAGGGTTGAGCGTAGTGACCTTCAATGAGACGATAGTCAGTTATCCCAATTGGTTATCGCAGTCCCCAAGCCTTTACAGCCTTCATAGGCTCTATAAGGCTTGGTACTCGCGTCCCTTCACATACTGTAGGAACTCAGTAGCTTCCATTCTTTCATTTATTAACGAGGACAAGGGAACGTAAGATAGAACCTGCCGCATTGAATTGACATGTTACATTCAAATACATGAGGTGTGGCGAGTAGGCGTAGAGTTTGGAGGCTGGCAGTTCAGGTCTTTCTGGTTGCTTTATGAGTTCAGGGTGATGGCTGATGGTGAAGGCTGCCTCTTAGCATTCATCTCAGCTGTGAGATCGGCTTTCACGTGCGAAGCATTCTCAATGTGATTTCGAGCGCCCAAGCACCTGTTCGCGGTCCGCGCAAAGTCTTGATGTCTCCGAGAAAAATATTATCAACTTGAGAAGCGAGCAAGGCGCAGGGTGTTTTGGTCCAGGGTTGAACGTGCCTGCACATTTCTTGTTTCCCGAGGGATCCAAGTAGCCTAATGTAGGTAATATTTGCAGACTTAAGGGCCCAATGTAGGTATTACTTGTATACTTGGATCCCTATATAACCCGCTTTTATAACCCCAGCTGCCATTTGATTTTCCATTTTCTTTTCGATTTGACACTTGGATCGCTAGGGTCTGAGTTCTTGGACATTGAACACCTGTAAAAGGCAAGGGTAGCCTTGCAGCCATCAGTTTAGGGGTTAGGGGGACCCCAATATAGACCCCAAAATACGATGATCTTTTGTACCGGGCCCCCCGAACCAAGGTACCCCCCAATTCTGAGCAACGACCAAATCCTTGCAGGTGAACAAGAGCGACACCGTGGCAAACTTGCTGGCCAACAAGGCCGTGCAAAACCTGGTCAGTGACTGCCAGGATCAGAATACAAAAGGTTTTCAGGCCCTGCATCAAAGCCTCTTGATTTGACTTTGCATGTGTTGACTGGGTTGAGGGTTTGATTTCCGGCTCTCCTTTGGCGTATCAGGTAGTAGTTGAGTTTCAAGTACATCTTCATTTTGTCATGCCATACTCCAGCTTGCTGCATGAAGCCCGGTCTTAGATGATACTTTCAAATTCCAGCAGCAGCATTAGCCCATCCAAGGCATATCGCTTTTGAGGGCGGAGGTTAGCTGCATGAACAATTCTGAGAGCGCCGGCGATCGTCACCGCTCTGAGAGCGTCATATTTGCACCGCAACCACGACAAGTTCCCCTAGGGGACTAGGAGTGGATTTTTTCCAAAGCAGGAATTTTGGGATAATGTGTTGGTTACGCGAACCTCCGTTCGGAGTGTGCGTCCCAGGAAGCCAGCAAAAGGATGGGCACGCCTATAGCGTTGAAAGACCCACAATTCAAACACCTTGGCCTTTTTCTGGGAAGGCTGAGGTTTCAGAAGCAGGGTTTAGGGTTTCGGGGTTTAGGGTTTTAGGGTTTAGAGTTTAGGGTTGGGGGTTTGCCTTGTGCTTTGGACCTGGTGTGCTTCGCTCTGCTTTCACGAGAACACTGGTGGTTACCATGAGTTGGGAGGTTGGCCTAACCTAATCCCCCGCAATCCTGAAACTAGTACTAGTTAGACTTGGGATACGGAAGGCCACAACATGTAAGCAAGATCATGTCCTTCCTTTGATTGTGATTTTTCAAGAGGAGTATGGTCTTATTTGGTTCAGTGACCACATGTATCTACGCGTCCCAGGTCAGCGCTGTTTGACAAGTCCCATGCATGCTTCTCAGGATCTTGGTTGGAGATCCAGCGCAGCCTCTTTGCGCAAATTGATTGGTTGGGTTTTTACCCGTCATGAATAAAAGTCAGACTTTCCAGCAAAATTAGCCAACGCTTCTGCATGCTTGCTGCTACTTCCTGTTAAGGAACATGAATGTTGGTTCCGGGATTTGGCGGGCAGTAATTGGGGCTTGGAGGGCTTCGCTTAAGATGTGGACGGGCACCGCTGCTCAGGGTCTTCCAAGCACTCACTTTAAGGCTGTTAAGCGAATGTATTATATAGGGGTTATATGGCCTTATAATATAGGAATCATATTCCCTCATTCCATCTCATTCCCTACTAGCCAGCAGAAAGTTGAATTCTCCCAGGCTCCAGTTTTTCTGTCAGAAGGCCCTGCCCAGGTGCCAGCAACACTTTTCACTTCGGCCTATCCAGCCACATTGCTTCAAGAAAGGCACATGAACACTACTGAGCCCGTGGCGCCTCGTATTGTGCTTACCTAGCTCCTGGAAGGGGTCCCTAGGCTTCAGAGTTGAGAATTTACTTGAGTTGTAGCTGGAATTCTTCGAGTGGCCCTTCAGGTCCTGTCATCAACAAAAATCCCCACAAGGTCTTACCTAAAAAATGAAAGCTTATGGTTTGAGTTGTTAGGAGTCATTGCTCTGTGGTTTTACGAATGGAAAAATTTCGTTTTTATCGATTGCGGTGTCTGATGGGCTCTACTCTGGATGCCTAGATGATGCTGCTGTGGTACGCCTTGAAAGTCCCTCAGCTTTTTTGCGCCGTCTGGTTGTCTAGCTGTCTAGCAGCCTAGCCTTTGTCACGCTGAGATGGACATGGGGGAGCAGGTTGTAATGGGGATTACTTCGAGGATTACTTCGGGGATGCGCTCCCACATTCTGGATTGAGCTTGAGTAAATTTTAGCTGGTCTTTGGTTAGCTAGAAATGAAGGAAGGGATCCTTTTGTAGTCCCTTTTTAACCCATTATAGTAGTTTCCCTTCTCATATCCTTCCATTGCCAGCTAACCAAAAGGCCAGTTAAGCCAGCAAGCAATATACGTTAGGAGGAACCTCCACCCTGTAATAGTGGCTATAAGAGGAATATAAGAGGACCTTAATATAATCCTTCTTAAAGCTAAGCCCTAAACCCTCACCCTATATTCTCCCTTATAGTCACTATTACAGCGTGGGGGGTCCACCTAAAATGTACGTGCTGCAGGTTGCCTTCCACTGTTTTCAGCATGAAGGCCGGGACGGTTGGGAGATCCTGTGAGCTATAAGCGGGTTATATAGGGGATTATGTAGGGTTTACGGTTGGGCCCTCCTTAATCTTGGGCCCCCCCCCAACCTTAAGGCGCCCAGGATTTAGGGTTTAGGGGTTAGGGTTTAGGTTCCTCAATAAAGGCCCTCAGCCTCTCACTGTTCTGAGATCCCTGTGGATTGATTTAAATGGCATGGTCTGGGTTCTCGTCAGACTCCAAAATCAAAGCGCGTTATAGGGGAGCCCACAATTCTTACCCTGATCCTAAATAAGGGGCCAAACCCTAAACGCTCAGCCCTAAATTAAACCTTAACCTGTCAAAGCACATTCTAAGGGACCTCATGGCTAAAGCAGGTCCAACATTGCCAGGGAAGAAAGTCCCAAACAATGGGGAAGTTGGGTTTAACAACATGACCTTTTGCTGCGTTTCTGTTAAGGAATTTAATATGAGTTACTAGATTGGGGAAACCCTATTAGTTACTATATACACTCATTATGGTAAGTTAAATTAAATTCCTTAACAGCAACCCAGTTTTGGATTTGAGTGATGTACCAGGCATGTCGGGACACTGAAAGCAGTGGGGTTACCCAGTTGATGCTCGTGACACACACAATTATATTGTGCTATTACCACCATGATTGTTATGGGGGTTCTTATTGTTACTAATTATTAATAGTGTTAGTACTATTACTACTGTTAGCTTGGAAATTTTGTCGGGATTTCACGGACGAATCCCACTCCCGAAGGAGGTTGAACCTCATTCCATGTGGCATTCTTACCCATGAAACGTTTGTCGGACTACAACAAGACAGCCCTCCGAGCATAGACTGCGAGCAGAGGTGGGTGACTGCAAAACAGGATCTCTCCGCATTTATACAGATGCTCCAAGTGCTGCGTATGGTGCTGCGTACATACATCTGAACATGCGCATATCTGTATATGTCTGTGCGTACATACATGCTTACATATTCTGATAAAATACCTGTGTTCTCGTGTGCATATACATATAAATATATGTGTAGCCGCTTTGCTCAGGATAGCGTGAGTTGCGGCGTGGTAGAGGGGGTGGAAAAGTGCGTAGACAGGGTCTATTCATGGTCGCCCAGCGGTGTTCACTGATCAGGAAAAATTAATGGATGGCTTGCCGAGCTGGAGTGCTGTGTCTTACAATGCTCTTTCACTCGTTCAGGTACGTAGGTTCCGCCATATTCTTTCAGAGCTGCGCTGGAACTC